TCAGAAGTGGAATAGCTGATCATTCAATAGTTTTATTTTAGGGTTTTTTTGTTTTCATAAGATATAACGTCATTTTAATTAAGAAGATATAGATACATAATATATGAAAATAAACATTTAACTAAGAAATATAGATATATAATCATTATGAAATAAAACAAATGGAAGTTTAATTGTAGTAATAATCAATACATTTTCATACATAAGAAGAAACTAAGTCTCAGAGGATTAGATAATACAGTTGGTGTCTAAAAAATCTATTTTTTTGCTGGGCGTGGTGGCTCACGCCTGTAATCCCAGCACTCGGGAGACTGAGGCAGGAGGATCCTTGAGAGTTCGAGACCAGCCTGGGCTACCAAGTGAGCTTAAGGCTGGCCTGAACTGCATAGTGAGACCTTGTCTCAAAAAAAAGACCATTATGAATTCTAGCGAAAGAAAAGGAAACCAAGTCTACATGGAATATTCTTCTCTTCCTTGTTCCTCTCTTTCCTCTTTTTTTTTTTTTTTTTTGGTCTTTTTGAGACAGGGTTTCTCTATGCAGTTCAGGATGGCCTTGAGCTCACTTGGTAGCCCAGGCTGGTCTGGAACTCTCAACGATCCTCCCGCCTCAGCCTCCGGAGTGCTGGGATTACAGGCATGAGCCACCACACCCAGTTCTCCACAATGATCATACTAATTTACATTCCCACCAACAGTGAATAAGAGTTCCTCTTACTTTCCATCTTAACCAGCATTTGTTATTTTTCTTTAGTTTTTAACAATAACTATTCTAACAGCGGTCAGATAAGAACTCATTGTAGTTTTGTAGCTAATGGTACTGAACTTGTTTTTTGTTGTTGTTGTTGTTGTTGTTTGTTTTTTTGAGACAGGGTCTCGCTGTGTAGCTTAAGATGGCCTCAAACTCATAGTAATCCTCCTGCCTCTGCCTCCCCAGAGCTGAGATTACAGGCATGCACCACCACATCTGGCCTATTCTGAGCATTTTTTCATATACATATGTATTTCTTTGAGAAGTGTCTATTTAGCTCATTTGCCCACTTTTTAATTTGATTATTTTTTTGTTCCTTATACATTCTGGATGCTAATCCATTGTCAGACAAATAATTCTTAAATATTTTCTCCCATTCTGTAGGTTGTCTCATCATTATATTGGCTTTTTCTTTTGCTGTGCAAAACCTTTCTAACTTGATATAATCACACTTGGCAACTTTCGCTTTTGTTTCTATGCTTTTGTGGTCCTATCTAGAAAATCATCGACTAATCATCGACTATACCAGTGTCTCAGAGGGTTTCCCCTGTTTTCTTCTAATAGCTTCAGTGTTTCACATCTTACAGTTAGGTCCTTCATCTGTTTTGAGCTGATTTTCGTACAGGTTGAGAGATAGGGTCAAGTTTCAGTATTTTGTATGAGACATCTTGTTTTCCCACCCAGCACCATTTGTCAAAGAAGTTATCCTTTCTCCAGTGTATTTTCTGGTACCTTTGTCAACAATTAGTGCATATGTATGTTTCTGGGATCTCTGTTCCATGGGACCATGTGTATTTTATTAGCGGCTTGTTTTTGCATGCCTGCAATGTGATGACTGTCCCTCACTGATTCTTGTCCCCACTCACTGGACATTTCTTCAAAATCTCTGAAGTCACTTCATGTTCTGTCTACCATGGGGCATACAACATGCAATTAGAAATCTCTGTTACTCTGTAAAACAGTAGTTAAGGGGAAAAATTGGTTTGGATTTGGTCTTTAAGTTCTTTTTCCCTGATTCTTTCAGCACTCTGTCCTGCTAGTAGTCATTAAATTCTACCAATATTCATTTTGTCATTGCTTAAGTATTTTATCTGTGGGAAGCAAACCAGATTACTGCTTATGACAAGGTCCTCAGGGAAATTATATTTGGAAATCATTACTCCAAACAAATGACAGTGTAGTGAAATACCTATTCTAAATAGTTTTTTTTTTTTCTTGGACATTAGAAGGAGCAACCCAAGGAACAGGTAAAAAGTGGGAGAACCAAATTCTAGTCCTGTGAAACACAGGATGAGCCAAGTGAAATCATTTGAGTGATGAGAAATAGAAAATAGTTCTTGTTCTATAACTTATTTATAAGTCTCAAGTAATCTCCATTTTGTTGAAGGGGACCTTTACACTTTAAACTAGATCAAAGCTAGTTTTGAATAAATATCTTTATTGTGAATTTATGAAGCATCTGTAAAAAATGTGGCTTGTGGTAAAGTAAATTATAAAGAAAAATCTGACTCATGATAGAAAATTCAAGCACAGAAGAAATAATCATTTGGTGTTCCACTCAGGTTGCTGACATTTCTATCTTGTTCACTTACTTGAATTTTTTTTGTTTTGCCATTAATTATTTTAAAGAAGTAACAAATACAGAATAAAGTCTTTATTAACTATTAAATTCTAGAAGAGTAGAATTCTCATTTTTACATTTTCTGCTTTCTGCCCCAACTCAACAAAGTTATGAAAAGTAGTTTGATTCAATAGGTTCACTTTTAAAGTATCATGTTTAACATTTTTCTGGACAATAAACTAATAGATGTTTACTGTAAAAGAATTTTTTAAAAATTCAACAAGGTCAAAGGAAATGAGTTTCTTGTAGCCTCATCATGGAAATAAATACTATCAATGTGCTGTTAAGATCACTCCTGTACTTTACTCTGCATTTGTTTATATAATCAGGAATATAGTACACATATTGCTTTTATGATTGCATTTTGAAGTCATTCAACCTCTCTTTTGACATGAATCTCAATGGACTTATAGTGGTTCATTAAAGAGATGAGTTAGATAGCCAATTCCAAATTGTTGAACACTTGTGTTGTTTCTAGATATTTCTGCTGTTTTAACACTTCAAGAAACAGTCATACATATATGTGGGCACATTCATGACTGTATCTCCAGAATAAAAGCTTAGAAGTGCAATTTCTAGGTTGGGGATATAGCTTAGCAGCACAGCACTCATGTGGCAAGCATGAGGCCCTGAGTTCAATTTCTGATACAAAAGCGGGGTGGGGGGAGGGCAGAATTTCTCTACAAACAATACGTTCATATTTAAAAGGATTTTTCAATTTTTTTTTAATTTTGAGAATCTATAATTTCAATTAAATGACTATTCTTGTAATAATATTTTAAGTGACTGATTTCTAAAATAGTACATTTCAACATTTTACAAACATCTTTACTGCCTGAAAGAAGTGAAAAAACCTTTGGTCAAGGACATGTCTCTGGAGCCATTCAGAGTGCTGACCACAGAAAGACAACATGAAAGTTAAGCCCCGACCTGAAAGGCATTTGGAGCATGGATCAGGGAAAACAAGGAAAGAAGCTAAGCCCTCGCCTGCGAGGTGACCTGCGTCGGGGCTGGGGAGAGGAGAACATCCCCCCACACACACACCTTGTGAGCAACTATTTAGAGGACAACAGTATGCAATATAGTAATATTTCAGATTTCCTACTGTCTTATTACTGTTTTGATTTGTTTTATTGCTGTTATTCCCCCTTTAAAATTAGAGAAAAAAAACTGAAGATGTTAGCATGATCCAAAATTAACAGTGGCTATCTATTTCATAATAGATACTGTGAAAATGAAAGGGGAGGAAACGTCTAAAAAGGGAAGGTGGTAGCCACTGTTAATTTTCTATTACCTTGTTTTGAAGTCCTGTATCATTTTAATTGTTTTGTTTGGTTTTGTTTGATTTTATTATGTCTGTCTGATGGCACTGTAAGCTATTTTGAAGATAACATGAGACATTATGGTAGCCATTGTTGATTTTCTATTATCTTGTTTTGAAGCCCTGAATTGCTCTCATTGTTTTGTTTTGATTGGCTTTATTCTACTTCATTTTGTTGGTTTTATTTTCTTTAAAATAAAATTTAAATAAGTAAATATTTAAAAAAGAACATGTATCTATGTTTTTTAGTTTGAGAAACCTGGTAGCCACAACCGTATAACCATAAAAGTGAAGTCTTTAGCCCTAGATATTTGTACATCTAACACTGAGATGTTCCCTATATTTATAGCTGCTATCCGGACAGGCATCTTGTACCAGACTGTCTATGTCTGCCTAGGTATCCTGGGGGATTGCTTCCTGAATCATTATGGATATAAAATCCATAGATGCTCAAATTCCTTATATAAAATGATACAATATTTACATACAATCTGCACACACTTTTTTTTTTCAGTACCAGGAATTGAACTCAGGACTTTGCACCTGCCAGGCAGATGCTTATGCTGCTGACCTATAACCTCAGTGCCTTTTTGTTTTTGAGACAGGGACTTGTGACATAGTTCAGGCTAGCCTTGAACTCACTATGTAGCCTAGGCTCACCTTGAACTCATGGCAATCCTCTTGCCACAGCCGCCTAAGTGCGGGGACTACTGGTGCTGGTCACTATGCCCGGCCCTTTCATATAAATCATGTCTACATTACTTATAATACTTAAGACAATGTAAACTCTATGTAAATAGATGCTATTGTTTAGGGAATAATGACAAGGAATAGTCTGTATGTGTTCAGCACAAAAAAATCTCAAATATTTTTGATCTGTGTTTGGTTGAATCAGAGGACACAGAATCTATGGATACAGAGAGTCCACAGTAAAGCAGCTGGCACACAGTAGACACTCAAAATCCATTTCCTCAATGAATGGTCATATGGTAAAGGATTTTTACCAATTTATATTATAACCATGAATGAAAGAAGCTTGTATCTCATAACCTCAGCCAGCTAACTTTTAGACAAAAATTCTATATTCACCATAAATGCTCAGTTGTTTAAAAATACTTTAATAGCTTAAGCAGATGAAACTATTTAAAGGAGTCATTCAATCTTTCCAAGTTAAAAGTGTGTGATGCTTACTCAGCCACACTGAATTGTAAGTATCACTCTACAGAAGTACTGTTCCAGTAAAAATAAGATGTAAGACACATAAGTATCTTCAAATTTTTGGTACCCACATTAAGAAAAGAACAGTGAAATCATTTTAATATATAGTTTATTTAATTCAAAACAGCTAAAATATTATAACTTACATATCTATTCAATACAACATTTTTCAATGTTTTACAATTTTTAAACTGTCTTTGAAACTCAGTGCATTTTACAGTTGAGCATGTTGCAACTCAAAATCAAAATTTTGATCAAAACTAATTTTACCTACATTTAGATTTCATAACATTTATAGTTGTTTCATATTTAAGTTGAACCAAAGAAACTAATAAGTTTTCCAATAACTGAATCTAATTTCAGATTTAAAAATCCAAATTAAATTAAATTGAATTCCCCAATCACACTGATCATACTTGAAATGTTCAATAGCCACACATGGCTACTGACGGTTGTACTGGACAGCACTGCAGACACCAGCCCTTTAAGAATCTTTTGTATGCCCCATGACCATTTAAAAATTTATCACATAAATTAGAGCTTATTATCCCTGTTTTTAGATGAGGACATGAAGGCTACATTAGTCAGTGTTCTACTAGAGAAACAGACATAACACAAGATATACAAATGTATAAGAAATTATGAGATTGGATGAAATTACAATTTTGAGCCACAGAGTTGGGTGGGAAACACGCAAAGAACATTTGCACACTGGAGAAGCTTTCAATCCAAGGTCTGGTGCACACCACAGTCTCCGTGTGAGTCTGTATCAGGAAGCCAATGGGTCTGCAATGGAAGGCTGACGAGTCTACACCAGAAGGCTGAAGGATCTGAGAGGGAAGCTGAAGAATCCGCGATGGAAGACAGGAGATGATGTCCAAGTTGAAAGCAAAGAGTGGAGCTCCTCTGAAGAACTGAAGCAGATTTGCCCTTCCTCATTTCCTCTTTATATCCTCCAGGCAATGAGCTGCTCTAGAGTGGGTCTTCTACACCTAGGGTATAGAATTGCTGAGTCGATTTAGTTAAACTTCTAAACTTCACAAATTGGCACAATCAATCAATCAATCATTACAAAGGCACTGAGTTGTCATTCATATAAGATCACGTGGCTAAGAATCAGTTCAGACTCATATCTAAGCATCTGTACCCCAGAAATTGAATCCTTTCCCCACCCAACTTGCTGAGCAAATAACAAAATAGAACATCTGTGTTAGGTGTGCAAATATCTGGAACTTTCCTAGACACTTTGCTTTCATAGCATATGGTTATGGCTACTATGTTGCTCAAACTAAAAACATAGACACATGGCTTTCACAAAAGATTTTTGCACTTCCTTCAGGCGTTAAAAAACAGTGAGAGACATCGTTTAGAAACCAAAATGTTGGAATTTGAGGACATTTCAGTAGTTTATAACAGTAGCTCCCACCTTCTTTTGAGTAGAACTCTTTTGTCCATGAGATCATAGACAAAACCCCAAAATACAAAATCCATAAAGCAAATCTGTTTGTAGGAATTCTCAGATTGTTGCCACTTGGCAACCTCCTCTTCCATACTCTCCTCTCATCATAGCAGTCCCTGAAGTAACACCCCAGACCCCATGACATCATGAAGCATCATTTAAAAAATACCCTTAAGAAAGGGCTTCTGATTTCCAAAAAAATGGGGTTGACATCATTTCCCCTATTTCACTAAGTAAGCTAAAATTCTTGAACATTACATAAAAAACAAATATAAGAAGACCCAGAAAAGTGGAGAGGGGCTGCGGATATAGCTCAGGGATGCAGCACCTGCCTGGCAAGTGCAAGGTCCTAAAAAAGGAAGGAAGGGAGGGAGGAAGGAAAGAAGGAAAGAAGGAAAGAAGGAAAGAAAGAAAGAAAGAAAGAAAGAAAGAAAGAAAGAAAGAAAGAAAGAAAGAAAGAGTGATAGTGAGCCAGGAACCCTGGATCCTCAAGAACAATGCAGTGATGAATTCCTGGTTTTTGTTTTTGTTTGTGTTTTTTTTTTGCAGGGGGGAGCATTGTCTCAAAGATCTTAGGCCATGTTTTGCAGAAATCAGCACACTGGAAACCCTCCTGGATACAGAGAAAGCCCCTCCCCAACCATAAAAACTTACCCTCTTTAACTAAAGGACCAAGAAAGAGCCTCACAATACAGAAAAGTTTTAGACAATAATCACTCTACTCCAGCCTAACATTATAGAGAATTCTGCAGCCACTATCCCTACATCCATTAATAAAAGCTGAGTGGGAAGGTTATACTTCTTTATTCTTCGGGCTGTAGCATGGCAAAACAAGCTCCATCACCCCTTCATGATATTGTCAAAGAGGGCTGTGTAAAGAGCTTAGGACTCTCTCATCTTTGCTCATTTACCTCCTCGTGTCAGTGGAGACCATGTGGGTAACCTGGACTTGCAATCCCACCTGGCCATGACGAGGCATCCTTTCCCCTCAACACTGGGGTGGTATCAAACAAGGCCTACTGGAAAGTAAGGGCTTATACTGCTACTCAGTGGTGACAAGGCTTCCCACCCATGGTATCAGTGACAACTCTGTAGAGAGCAGTGAGGAAGCATGTGATCCTATTAGCTAGAGTGGTAACCGCAGAGGTTTAGAAAAGAAGGAACCTGAACTCCCACCTCAGGCCAGCAGGAATAAGAAACCTCTTCATCCCCAGTTGTCAATGGAGGACAAAGGAGAACTTAGATTCCTACTCCTTCCTAGCAGTAATGGGAAAGAAGCCCTCTTCTCCTTGTAAAAGAGGCCAGCCAAAACACGAAATTTAGGTAAGATCCAGCATAATGTTCTGAATATGTTCAAATTTCAACCAAAAATCACTTGCTGTACCAAGAATAAGGAAAATCTCAACTTGAACAAGGAAGATTATCAACAGACACCACCACTGAGATGGGCCAGATGTAAAAATTATCTGACAATCCTTTTAAAGCTACTGTCGTAAAAATATTTCTACCAGCAATGAAAAACTCACTTAACATAAACAAAACAATAGAGAATCTCAGCAAAGAAAGAAGTCATTAAGAAAACTGAGATTGAAATTTTAAAATTGAAAAACAATAATAAAAATAAAATATTCAGTGTGTGAGACTTGACATCAGAACATAGAAGATAGATGAATCAAAGTATTTGAAGACAGAATAGAAATTATCCAATAAGAACAACATACACTGCACTAGTATAGTTCTCAGTGCATGTAGAGGAAATATTTAAGACAATTATATTATAAAGAGAGAGGAAATAAAATAAAATGAAATTTCTACATTTAAAACTAGTAAATATTGATTCTAGTAGATTGTAGCAACTATTTAAAAAGTTATTCAAAGAAATAGTCAATAGCACAATAAATCAAATAAACACAAATATATCACAGAAACACAAATCAAAATGGAATTCTAAAAATGTTCAGTAACCCTCAGGAAGGTAGGGGAAATAAGGGAAATATTTTTTAAAGGAACAAACAAACAGAAAGCATAAAATAAAATAGTAGACTCAAGCTGTATCATATCAATATTTACACTAAATATAAAGAGTCTAAATATGTCAACTAAGAGACTGGCAGAATGGCCTAAAAAATGGGTCAGGACTGGGAGTGTAACTCAGTGGTAGAGAACTTGCTTAATATGCATGAAGACGGCGGTTCCATTTCTAGCATTTATAAAAATAATCCAACTATAACATATCTATTAAAAAAACTCACTTTAAGTCAAATCTTTCATGTAAATAAGGACCAAAATGTATAACAGATATTGCAAAACAGGAATAAAATATTCAAATGAGGAGGTGAACAAGAGAGTGGGGAGAAGGAAAGGAAAGAAGGGATAAGTTTTTAAAAACTAGAAAAGAAGGAAAACATGGAAACAAGGCTTTGTAAATGGGGAAGAGGGGTTGAATAGAAGGGAGGGGAATGGGAAACAAACAAGTTTTATCATGTACAGGTACCAGGTCTCTATCATGAATGTGATCATTATGTGCATCTAAACTATACCAATAAAATCTGATTGAAAAAAATCAAATCTTTTAAAGTATACATAGAAAATATACCAAGATAGATATGTCCTGGGCCATAAAAGAAACCTCAACAAATTCAGTAAATGCAAAAGTAATACAGATAGATTTTTCTCACTATAACAGTATCAAACTAGAATTCAATAATGGGAAAATCTCCAATGAAATGGAAACCAAGCAACATACTTCCAAATAGTCCAGTGGTCAAAAAGGATGTCTCAAGAGAAATTATAAAAAATAATTCATTAAATGAAATGAAAATAAAACATATTAAAATTTATACAACACAGATAAAATAGTGATGAAAAAGATACCTGTAACACATAATGCATACATTAGAAAAGAGAAAATGTTGGGGTTAGTCAGGGAGTGCTCCCGCAGTGTACTGACTCCCCTGTGCTGTGGTATGGGCCTCGTTAAAGTTCATGTTAATATTCCTGTAAACCTGCTTGTGATTTATTTCTCAGGAAATGTGGGCTCCATAAATCTTGTAAATCTACAGAGAGACAGACAGACAGACAGAAAGACAGACTGAGAGACTGAAAGACAGAGACAGAGAGAGAAAATGTAACAAATGAATGACTGAAATTCTTATCTTAAAAGCCTAGATATAAAAGTCCAAAAATCTAAAGCAAATGGATGAAAGTAAAGATAAAAAGCAGAAGTCAATGAAATTGAAAAGAGAAACACTAATCAGTAGCGAAATTACAATTTCAAAAGGACGCAGAACTTATGATCAATTTATGTCACATTCTCAAAGGGATCAAAGTATAACAATGGAGAACAAATCATGGACCACCAAGGGTTAAGGGAGAGTGGTAGGTATATACTGTACCACAGGTAGCATACAGGGAAACTTTGTGGTGAACAAATAATTAGATTGTGGTTCATTAAAAGTATAAGTGTTTAAAACTGAGAAGGTTTTGCTTGTTTATCTGTTGATGGTTTACTTTGTTTTGCTTTGTTTTGTGGTACTGGAGATTGAACCCTGGGTTAGTACTGAGCTACAGTCTGTTCCTTTTTTTAATACAGGATCTTGCTTAAGTCCCTAAATTGCCTATATAGTGCTCAAATTTATAACTCACCTGCCTCAGCCTCCCAGAGTGCTGGGATTATAGGCAAGCATATGCCTGGCTAGAAGTTTTGTTAAAGGCCAACCATATCAAATGTTCAGAAAGTATGTGGGGTAACTGCAATTTTCATACACTGCTTGTAGGAGTATAAATTGACACAGTATCTTTGGAAAATAATTTGCCTACTTCTACGAAGGGTATTTGTGTGTGTGTGTGTGTGTGTGTGTGTGCATACTTTTGCTTCATAATTCTACTTAATCAAGTGAAATGAAATCATTTGTCCACCAAAGATATGTAGAAGAATATTCATAGTGCTTCTACTTTTCCAAAAACTAAAAACAACTCAAATTTCCATGAATATTAAAATAGATGACTGAATTGAGATACACTTACACAATGGAAATGTGATAGCCAGGTATGGTGACACTATGGGAGGCTGAGGCTTAGAAGGATTCCAAGATGGAGCCTAGCCTAGCACTTTAATAACTTAGAGAGACTTCCCATCTCAAAATTTTAAACAGTTAAATTTTAAAAAGGCTGGAGATGTAACTCAGTGTGAAGACCCTGGATTAAATCTCTAGGGAAGGGAAGGGAAGGGAAGGGGAGGGGAGGGGAGGGGAGGGGAGGGGAGGGGAGGGGAGGGGAGCGAAGGGAAGGGAAGGGAAGGGAAGGGATGGAGTGAGAGTGGGATGGAGGGGGAGTGGGAGGGTCCAAGGGAGGGAGGAAAAACTTAAAAAGAATTGATACTGCTACACACAATCACTCAAAGGAGTTTTACATTTTGTTGAGCAAAACATACTAGAAACATAAGAATACATTTTGTATGATGCTTTTTTCTGTTAAATTCAAGAACTGCAGGGCTGTGGATTCAGCTCAGTGACGCACCTGCCTGGCAAGCAT